ACAGCGAGCATGGGTATCCTTGCTGAAGATGGATCATCGATGGACCTTTTTGGTCAGTATATCACTGCTGTCCTCCGAGTACCATGAGACTTTCATCCTATCGTTTTTTGTTATGCTTGTGGGTGGGCCTTACTAGGTATCTACATAAAATGGGCTTATTATGAGTTACAGCTAATAGATATTACAACTTTATTGTAACGAAGTATTGACAACTTGAAAACCTAGGGAAAACTATGCAGTGAAACGAAATATCAACACGCCCGGTTGGATGACATGTCGACAAAAAATGTACGATACACAGGAAGATGCGTAGGCAGAAGACAAGTGTGAGTTCAAACTGGGGCAGAGAGAGAGAGAGAGAGATTGGTGTACAACCGTAGCGAAGTTCTGTGGGTGCAGTTTCTCCAGGGGGGTGTACACTGTGCAGATCGGCGGGGATCGGATGGAGAGATGTGCGCCCCAAACTGAACTTAAACAGGGTGGATATGTCAGGAAAGTCTCTACAGTCGAAGAATCTGGCTGCATGGATCAGCGAACGAACCGTGCACAACCATCGATCGCTGCTTCGGCCACGCTCGAGCCCTGCTCGCTATCCGCTGACAAACTTCTCAGTGACACTATGACGATCTTCATACTTTCGCTATGGCAGTCCACTTGACTGTTACCGTATGATAGACCAACGGGGCGCCAGGGCCGATAATTCCGGGCCTATTGGTCCAAGCGTTACTTTCCCAATCATACCAAGTCCAGCGATTTTCGAAAACGGATGTTCCCCTCCATTGATCATGGACGAGAGAACATCCCTTGGTGCTCAGTACACGCCCATCCCAAAGATCAATCTTCCATTCGCTTATTCTCTGAGCTATAGCGAGCATCTGGGCCACAATAACCCATCAGATCAGCGGCATACAGGGCATTGAAACCAAACCTGGTCCTTGTCCCTCTCAATCGTCTCCAACTCCATCTCAAATTCCTCAAGGCGCTTCAACAGCCTAATCCCGTCGGTCCACTTGTCCTTCAGCACCAACGACTGGTTAAGCTCGAACCACCACCAATCGGATTCTCTGATCGTAATCTTCAGCTTTCTTGTACGCATTTCCGTGATCGCACAAGATCCCGGAAACCTCCTCTCGAGCAGATACTGTTGGGTGAAAAAGTGCACGCAATCGACCGCATTCTGCTGCTCCTCCGTCATCTTACGAAAGTATCTGGCTGGATCCGCACTTGACCTGGGCGGGCCGCGGTCATACCAAAAGACATGCTCGTTCTCGATGACAGGTAGGAGGCGGGTCTCGTCGTAGATGCGACGGCAGGTGAGAAGGAGCGCAGTGTCTATGCACCGGTCGTGTTCATATCCCGGACGGCAGTAGAAGGCATTGCCAGGGTAGTATCCCCTAGTTCTGTCGGGGTAGCCACGTAGAGTAAGCCGGAAGATGAGGTTACGTATTTCGGGGGGAATAACAGAGAAGAGGGGTGAAGCCGCTTGGAGGTGAGCCGCTTGGACCCTTGGGAGCATGGTGGCAAAATGTTAAGAGGTTCGTTGAGCAACGCACATTATATATTGGGTCCGGAGGCAATGGACTAGTACAGCCATGAGAAGCTATCAATTGTCCGGGGGGCTTCGGATTTAATGAGCTAGGCGATGCCGTATTTTCGGTATATGTACATGCAGAATGTGTCGAAACAAATACGTCCATACGGTGGCCGGTGAACTAAACACAAAAGACAATTCACTCAACTGCAGTCTGCGAATAAATAGTTATAATCGGATTTACCGAGCTTCAAATTTATCTCCCTCCCAGATACCTGAACCCCAAAACATGTTTACATTCTCATTCAATCCAGTCGGCTGTTCTCAATCCCGATCATGGCGTTCTTCGTCCCCCCAGATCGCTATTGAAAGCTGTTGAATCTATGAGTATGTTGTTAATGATCTTTCATAGCTGTAGAAAGCTATTTACGTTCTCACCCCCACATCAGACAGGGGATGTTTTGCATAATCCGGCATAGAGAAGCTTTAAGTGATCTGCCTCGCGTCGAGAAAAAATAGACAAAAAATGGCTTTCATCTAAGCGCCGTTTACTCCGTGTACGACAGAAGTTAGAAGTTGTCTGTGGGAAGATCACGCAAGATCTTTCTCCCATTTACACCCAAATGAATAGCGTACTATTCTGTACAATCAGATACGAAATGAACGAAATAACAGCGCCGCTGACTCACCTCTCCGTTCCTTTACCTAAAGAATCCCTCTAGCCATCAATTCGAGCATCTGCTCTTCCACGCGTTCCCAGCAGATTATCACTAGATGGATAGCCACCACAAAATTGCTCTCCGCGTCTATCATAAGACGAGGAGTATTAATACGATCCTGGTCAACGAATCCGCAAGCGGAGGTACACACTGCGCCCTCAGTCGCCACTGATAACGGACTTGAGCGAGATCTATGCGGCTAGGATAGGCCTCGGACAAAATATAAAGACCGTAATGATGTACAGCACGGCCAGCGAAATGAAAAGATTTCGGCTAGGGGAGGTAGGGGATGTTTGCCGGAGAGACAGTAACACTTAAATTTCCGGTCGCATTATAGCGCACGTCGTCGGTTAGCGAATGAAAAATACCTCAAGGCCCTTTCTTTCGAAAGAATGGCAGCGAGGTTTGATAGTGTGTCGAAAACTACCCCACCTGGGATACAGCTGGGTTAGTGTCGGTCCGATAGCGTCTCTTCCACTGCATCCTGGAGGATGGAAGGGAGATAGTAGTCCATACAGATGCACCCAGTGAAGAGACCCCCCGTGCGTATGCCCCAATCCAATCTGTGCAGTTCAAGCACTTTTACGAGAAGCGCGACCCATGGTGCAAGTCGGAAGAAGTCTCGCAGGAATACAGCCTTTCCTGGATCTCACAGCCTTTAGGCCCGAGTAATGATGACAAGAACCACTTCTGAGAAGAGGTGCGCACAGCGGGAAGAGAGAAATAAGCGGCAAGGGATCGGGATCGGAGGGTAGGTACGTCGTCGTAGTTTATATCTATGATCTGGTCAAGAACTTCGGGTGGCAGCGATAAAAAAAGAATTCGGATTTGAAGCCCGGATAGTCACTTGGCTAGGACTGTTCAGAAAATTTGCTCCAAGGAAAATGGGAGATACCCTACCTTGAACGTAAACGGCCCGGGATCACCTTCAGGATGTCACGAAGTGGTTCAGGACCTTAGCAAGTCCCATCGGCCCTGCACCTCGGAGAAGAGGGTAGATAACTTGAACGGACTTTGGATGAAGACCACGATATCACGCCGCTGCCTACAGTAGATCATCGAAATTTCCAACAGTTCCTCCTTCAAGGACACAGGGCAATAGGCGGAAACCAATTCGTTGAGTTTGGGCTTCCGGTGCGACTCATATTGAGGGAGATGGAGTGCCTGTAAATCCAACGGCCGTAACATCCTGGCGATACGAGCATCTCACACCAAAACAAATGCTAGCGACTGTGCCTCTATGACGAACATACGCGCACGATAAGCGAAGGTCTCGCGGTGACATTTGAACCATCGTAAAAGCAAGTAAAGGCAGTCGCGCCGATGGTGAGTCGATGAAGCGTTAGGAGAACGTTTTCATGGAGAATTTCGACGAAGAGACGATGAATGGGAGGTTAGAGGTCGCCGCCGCTTCTGTGGTAAGAGACTCTGTACAAGCACCAGATATCGATAATAGAGGATTGGGAAGGGTGTTTGTAGCCGGAGCCGGCAAGCTTAGTCAGGATCTTGACTTGACTTTGTACCACCATACCGACCTCGTTATCAATATAACAGCCTCTGCTTTTTTGTCCTTTTCTTGTGCCATGTCCACCCGTAAAAATGTGATCGATAACTCGACAGTAGACGCCAACAGATGCCAACGATGTCCCTCATTCGCCACCCGTTCAAGGAGGAGACTACCATCGATTGCGTGAGGTGGGAAGTTGATTAGTGACTGCCAAAACAACGGTGAGCTATCTTGTGGTTCTACCTAGAGTCAATTTTTACTCGCGGCGTTGAATAGCCCTTTGTCGCGCTATCCAATGAAAAGAGCCTGGCAAAGCTGACGTGGCTATCATCTCACTTGCTGCCTATTCGTCCGATTGGCCTATTCGCCTTTGGAGATGGCCACATAATCAGCTCTAGGCTTGGTAGAAATCCTTGTCATACTCAGTAAAATTGACATCAGGTTTTGCGTATGGGATGACAGGTGGGTTGTCGCTACAATCAAATCGCATCTCGCATCTAATGCAGAGGACATCTCAGAGAAGAGGTCCGTTCATGACGGAGGTTGAGCAGATCAAACAGAGTCCTTCACTCTTCAGTGGAGCTTAGTATCCTTTCGACTCTCTTCGTCGACCTCCACAGCAACCGAAACTCGATGTACCGCTCACGACTCATCAACTCTTTTATTGTATCTGCCAAGGAAGGCACGTATTTGTCGACCCCAAATTCCTTCCCGGCCCGGTCAAAAACGTAGCAAAATCCCTTCATTCTACTATGTATGCACCTCTGGCTCTGTGCTCATGTCTCTTCTCCACAAAAGAGCTCGCACACGTGCACCCGACTCTTGTTCTACCCTTTGATTCGCGTGGAGAGGGAAAGGGATCGACAAGACCCTTTCCCCGTATTCCACCGCACGACGAAATCTAACAGCACGGAGGAGGCAAGTGATGTTGCTCTATTTGGCAACAACCAGCTATCGTCGTCCTCGACGCCCAGTACAAACCCAGCATTTGTCATGTGTGGGGAACGGGGAATGGGAACGGGAAGGTTCTTACTCATATACATATTACCAATGAATGAAAGGCCTCAGGCGAGCACTCTTGTACACGTACGGACTTTGCTCACACCTAAGGGTAGACGAGTATGCATTCACTCTCAAATTTCTATTTGTTGTTCCCTCAGTTGAACAGGAGTGATCACCAACTGGACGGTGGGGCTTGACATACGTTTGGAAGGAGACACAATCACACGCTTATTTTGACAGGGGCGCTATAGTGTAGTGGCAGCACATGGGATTCTGATGTCAGCTAGGAATATGTATTCCCATAACCCAGGTTCGACCCCTGGTAGTGCCTGCTTAAGTTTTTTTTTTTTTTTTCGGTTGTGGTCTTAGACTCTTAGTACCCTAGGTCATGACACCGTCTGACTGTTCATCTGTTCATTGTTCAAACTTCAATGTTCAGCGCCGATCGGTGACTCGTGAGTCGTCACTCATCACTCGAGTGTCCCTGTCCAAGTCCAGTGTCAGTTTGTCACTCTTATGGACTCAAATCTCGGTGTCTTGCGGCCTCGGTGGTACTCAGAAGAGTCTTTACTGTCGTAATGCGTACTACAATGATAGTCGTCGGTATCTACATGATAGTTGAGGACGAGAATCGGTTGGTCAATGTACTCCGTATGTTAACGAGTTAGGTTTAAAATCCACTCAAGGCAATAGAACAATTTCTTGTGAGTATTCCGACTCGAACTTGTAAGTATTTCTGCTTGAATCCTAACTGCTTTTTACGCTCGGGAACAGACAATATGCGTGGAGAGCAAATCGGAAGTTAACGAATATCTCGGAAAGCCAACCGACTCTGCGCCACAATCTACAAACTATGATGCATGTTGATTAATATTAGTACTTGCACTACAATGGACTATGGGGAAACTGGTTCAAGCTCAAAGTCGACTCCGATTTTGGTTCGAGGACGAAACCGCGACGTTGATAGTTTGCCTCCTCTGTCATTTGGAGCTATGACGGGTGCGAGTTAGACGATTTGAAATGCATTTTTGGAAAGGGCTCACATATGCTTCACATCCAAAGACGTGAATGATTAAGGCGAACCAGAGAGCCATACCCTGGACAACACGAGTAGCCGCGACACCGTGAAGCTTATCGCCATGGGTATCAGCATTGACGGGGACAAAGGTCCCAGAGAGGTCTACGTCATTGCCGGCACATGTTGGGAACTGCAACTCGACCGTGATGATGTTGGTGAGGACGGAACGGAGCTCATCACACCGGAATACCTGACACCGAGCTTCTATGAATTGAGAAGATCAAAACGTGTTCACACGCACAGACTGATAGTTGCCAATGTCGGTTACTATTTCTCGCGCGGCCAGGACAATCAGGCGTGTGGTGATGACGACGCTAAATATTACTACGCCACCTATTTAATTGATCAGGGGATGAGTGATTTTGATAGATACGTCTGGGGTAGTATACGTACGGAGCATCCACTTCCGGTGTTCCCTGGTGTTTTTCTTGACATTGGACAATCCGATGATCAGGCAGCCGGAGGAGAGTATGCCGAGCGTGTAATACATAGACTGGGCGTTTATTTCCCCGCCAAATGCTCTGTAGCCTATGATGGCGCCGCAGACATTGGAAGGGACCAAGAGAATGACAACAAAGTAGCCTGAATGGCGAGGAGTTAAACATATTTCTGATCGATTCTGCAGGAACAAGCGTACCGTTTAGACGGTGCAAGATTACAGCGCGCTTTAAGTAGAGATAAGTGTGAGCAGTGTTCAGAATTCGTGCAGAACTTACACGTCGAATTGCTGGAAGGAACTGAAACAGAGAGAAAATTCCGCCAACTTCAAGTTGGCCCACTCAGACTGCTGTTGATGAAATATACAGGTCGATGACTCACAGACGGCGGTATATATGTGTATCGCATAATTGGCTTTGAATGTCCTCTGATTGAACCAGAACCATTGACCTAAGGAACGGATCAAGGATCAATCGATAGAGCTTTACTATTATGTTATTGATTATGTACCTGCTGGTGCGTATTTCTCCATCAACGCAAAATTCATCGTCCGTGCGCCGTACAGACAGAATCCTATAAGGGCGCCCCCGAAAATGATGACTGATGACTATCAAGATCGAAAGCCAGGCATTAAAGATTGATCATGCTTACAGACTAAGAGGCTGAAGCTCTCCTTGAACCCAACGATGCTGCTTATTGTACGATAAGCCGCCCGGCCAGGTATTTTTTGGCGTGATTTCGCTGCTGCATGCGGTGGAGGCACGTCGAAGTACGGTCGGTTAGCATGGTGCGACTCGTCACTCGACTTTCCGTAACGAGGGTCAATCGTAAAGACGTCTCCCGGATCGGGCAGTTCAGAAGTAATGGTCCTCGGTGAGTAGACGGACATTGTGGGTGGTGGGGAAAGCGACTGCAAGCGCCATCCGCGGCCATATCAATGTAAATGATCCCTGGGATTCCACTTTCAGTAATAAGCGCTAAAATAGTGGTGGCAATCACCATCGAGTTTGGAGTACTACAGCTGAACCAATGCCATTCAGCTCGAATCACACTCGGCTATCCACGAGGAGACCGGACGGAGATAGGTTAGGACCATAGAGTTGGTTCTATGGCGCCAAAGGATTCTCCGCTGCTTTGGGGCAAGGTCTACCCATGATTGGAGCGCGGGTAGTATTTTTAGTGATTGAGCGTCCGTGAAGCGCGAAGTATTCTCAAACACGCCAGCGTTGCACATCTGACTGCTTCCGTGCGGGGTTTCATGGTGGGAAATTTTGGAAGTTACTAGCGTATGTACGGGGAGATCTCTTGGAAGAAGTCCTATCCAGGTTAGCCGCATATCCCGGAGATCTTAAACACGAGAAAATATAAGCTGACTAGTAATGAATAGGCTCGATACCAGCCAACCTGATCCCCTCAATAGGAACTACACGACCTCGTAAGACCGGTTCGAGTCTAGCTCATGGATAGCTGGGACGCTAAAGATACTCACATAGAACTATGCTGTCAACGTAGGTGCAATTTCCAAAAGACCAAGGCTGTCCCATTCTGACGCGTTACATCCAACGCTTACAATACGGTTTCCGCAGTCGGACCGAGAAGCCAGTATCGACACACTGCTTCGAGAACACGCACCCCAGTGCTGGCTTGGGTCCAAATCTGGCGTTGTAGAGACTGGCAAAATGAGCGCAATCATACATGTATGGTCATGATAAATTTTGTTGAGAAGTTCAAAGCAGAGACAGTGGATGGGAGAAACCCTCGTTTTGTGATGGGCTAGGCACTGGACATCGAACTGGGGAAGAAACATTCAACGACAATGACTTCAGCTAAGAAGTGAAAGTGAGCGGGCGAGGATACAGTGTACTGAGTTACGTACGTTGGATTGTTGGGCTGACTCAGAGGCCTGACCGGGCCCGGGGTAGATCCGTACGTCAATCTTGCTACTAGCGAGCCTGAGGAATTACTAAAGGTAGATCAATTATTTCGTTTCTCAGCTGAGCATGAGTAGCGTGCCTGATAGGTCTGTAAACTGCACGGCTAGTTCTAGAATTTGAATGGTTAGTTCAACTTACTGGTATACTACTTACTTATAATATAACTCCCAACAAACGCCGAGAGGCGGCGCAGCATGCCGCATGTGAACGTCGAACAGAGGTCCGAAGTTCGTTGAATTCAAGGAACAAGCGATCGAAATATTGATGATTGATTGATGAATCATGGTTTACGGCAATTTACAGGCTGATATAGCAGTCTGTAAGGTACCGGTGGAAATATTAGCTCGTAGCGAGGACAGGAGATATTATCATTTGGTATCGCAAGTGAGAGGTATACGAAATTTTGAGTAGTACATGTACTGATACAATAGTAATAGGCTATACATCATTAATGGGAACGAAAGACACAGTCTTGAGGAAAAGTTACAAAGCCATAGAAAATCCAACTATCGCCGGCCAGAGGACAAAGAGAAGCCTAGCATCGAAGCGACGCGAATGAGCAGCAGAGTACGGATGCGAGTCTCCAGAGGTCGTATCTAAGGGACCTGCGTAAACAGTAGATCCTGGAGGCGATGCAACAGTTGAGGAATATGAAGAACTACCACCAGCCTCAGACTGCGTAGCTGTGGTTTGGAGAGCGGCGGTAGCGGTTTCTGCGGACGTGTCAGAATAGGGAGAGGCGTCGTAGGAAATCGGAAGAGAAGAGAGGAGATCAGGTATGCCTGCGATTCTGAAATCGGCAGTGTAGACGATATTTTTCGGGTCGTATTCAGATATCCAACGCATAGTGCTGTCAGAACATGTTAGCATTTTTTTAGCAAAAGGAAGGATGATTTGGAATTGAGAGAAGGGACACTCACTAATCGCTGCCTTTATATCTTAGCCATGGGGAGAGGTAAACGGTGTATGTTTGTGACTGAGTCTGGACGTTTCTGGCGAGAGTTCCTATGTATGTCTATCAATGCAAGGACAAAAGAAGGATGTCAGTAAAGGCGATATCGCGGAGAACCTAGGTCAACATACATGGTTCCCAGCAAAGAGCTCCACCTTGAATCTTCTCATTTCCTTCGCCTCCTTGAGCGTCGAGCGCCAATTCAGCACGGCGGGCTCGGCGACTTTGTATACGGTCACCGCGACGGGCTGAGTTGGGTAGATAGACGCGTTCACCGTTGGAATGGAGCAGACAAGAATGAATAAAAAAATCCAAGTGAAAACGGTTTGGAAAACGACCGGCGTTAGGGACAGAACGGACATCGTGGTTAATGACAAGTTGGATTTCAACTGGATCGAGGCTGACCGCGGTCACGGTCCTTACGCGTGATTTCCGGCCCGGGTGTCATGTACTTCCCGGTCCATCAACTCCGTCCACTACTTATGCTCTTCAGGAATAAGTAGACAAGTCACCTTCACTTCTTCGGGCGGTTGGTTTTGGTAAGTAAGTTAAGGAGCAATATTCAGGGTATTACACAAGTGCACGCTCTCATAAATAGGCCAAATGTTAAAGGTAATCACTATCCACCCAATCAGCATAGTCACTACCCAAAACGTCCGATATCGTGTAGCCGCTGGTCGAAGTGAGCGTTGTGGCAAAAGATGCACGAGTGCCAGAAGCACCGGATCCTGGAAAGAACATCTTAGGCACAAAATGAACGAGGTCACGGTGTACGCACCGATACTTTCGTATTCAGCAAAGGTAACATGATCAGTATTGGGTGAGCTGCTAGACCACTGTTCCCAGCCAGCACTGTTGATCAAGTTTCCGAGCGAGCAGGATGTGTAAACAACCCTGATTGTCTTTTGTTCAGCAACACACAATTACGA